AAATAAAAATAAAAGTGTATCCATTCTTTTTACATTGAATTGTTAAACAATGTTGAAAAGGTCTATTAATTGGAATCTCTAATAAGCTAATTTTTACTCTAAGCTCTCATTTACAACTGAACCACAGAGCTATGATGGCAAAAGCATTAAAATGGTTATTAAACTCGTTCCTGCTCGATTGTTTGTGATGTGTGAAAAGATTCCAAGGGAGGTCATATTATATAAGTGGCCTCTATCTACATCTATAATAAATGGGAAATATTTTCTTTTGGAAAGTTAAAACTTGAGTGTTATAAGTCATGATTTTTTGTACGAAACTGTTTAATTTCTAAGTAAATAACATTCAAAAGCAAAATATATTTAAAAGAGGATTCATTGATATGGGATATTCACAATAAGGTCGAACAATATCCCGCACATTTTATAATACTGAAACAAAGTTCACCATTTTATTAATGTATATTAGCTCAGCAGTTAAAAAAATAAGTATTTCTTACTGTAAATTGAATTAATTTCTAATGTAAGTGCTTGATACATTCTACAAGTCAATAAAAAATTATTATTGATATGCGTGTGTCTTTATATGTTCATCAATATCTATATATCTATATCTATCTATCTATCTGCACACACACACACACACACACACACACACACACACACACACCCGCACACACACACGCACATGGGGACGCCCGTATAAGCTGGTAACGGCCAGACTCAGGGGTATGTTCAGGCGACCACCCACTTGCCCGGTTTTCTTGAGAAAAGTTGTAGCTACCTTGTTCTCGTCGCCAGTAGATATGTTACAACCGAAGGATGTCTGGAAGGTCTAGCGAGGTTTCCGGCAGTCACGTTGGATGAACTTTCCAGAGCTTGCGGCAAGGTCCAAGATTGGCAAAGCCCCCGGATTAGATGGGTACCAAATGTACAATTAAGCCGCTATTAAGACTCGGCCCGATCTATTCTTGCAGGCTTATAATGCATGCATACGAGAGGGAATTTCCCCCGCCGATGGAAGCAGCAACAACTAGTCTTCTTCGAAGGGCGATAGGCACCTACTGATCCGGCAGCCTATCGGCCAATATGCTTTACTGGACACAGCAGGCAAAGTTTTTGGAGCGGATTATCTGCAATCGTATTGAGTCATTTACAGAGGGGCCTCAAGGATTGTCTGATAATCAGTACGGCTTTAGAAAAGCGAGATCCCGGTAATGCAATTAAGGTAGTCATCGACATCGCACGCAAGGCCATTGAAGGCAAACGATGGAAAGGCGGTCCTATGAAGTATTGTGCTATAGTGACCTAGACGTGAAAAACGCCTTTAACACTGCAAGGTGGAACTCCATTCTTTCTGCGCTACAAACTCTTGGAGTTCCAAGGTACATCTCGAACTTGGTTAAAAGTTACTTTAAGGAGAGAATCCTCCTATATGAAAACTGGGTCTGGAGTACAATCTTATACGGTCACAGGTGGTGTCCCACAAGGCTCGTACTTGGTCCGATGTTGTGGAAACATTATGTATGACGCCGTGTTGAAGCTCGAGTTGCCGGAAGGCGCAAGAACGATTGGATTCGCTGACGATGTTTCAATTGTCGTTGTCGGCAAATACATCGAACAAGTCACGCAGGTTGCCAACGAGACTGTGGCGGAGATCCGGCGGTGGCTTACGTCGGTAGGGCTACAGATGGCCGCCCATAAAACAGAGGCTGTGCTGGTGACGGGCAGAAAAGTGAGAGAGGGAGTATTACTCTTAATGTAGGAGGCTGCAAAATATCCTCGCGCTGTCACTGAGGTATTTGGAGTGCATATTGACGCGAGACTGCGCTTTGACGAGCACGCTGCGCAATGTCTCCGAGAAAGCGTCTCGAATGGCAATCCGCATTGGCACGCATTATGCCTAATGTAGGGGGTCCTGGGCAAAGAAGCCGGAGGCTGCTGACTAGCGTAGTAAATTCCATTCTTCTCTACGCAGCCCCTATTTGGGCTGATGCCATGGCATTCAGTCATACGCCCGTGGGGCTAAGTCGGTGCATAGAAGGTCCCGCTTGCGGGTTGCTCGAGCGTTTCGCACCGTATCCTATGATGCTGTGTGTGTGTTAGCAGATATGCCTCCGATCGCCCTCATTGCGCAGGAGAGAGCTAGACTCTATTTGCGCAAGCGGGAGGGGGCCTCAAACTGGATACCATTACGAAAGAAGAGAGGGGGGTGACAATGACCAATGGCAACGACGATGGGAGCAATCATCAACTGGGCGATGGACATTTCGGGTCATTCCCGACATCATGACGTGGATTCAAAGGGACATGGAGAATTAGATTTTTATCTAACTCAGATGCTGACAGGGCACGGGATGTTACCGACAGTATCAGCTCCGATTCCGGTTAACGATAGCTCCTCATGCCAAGGTGTTTCCGGTGATTGAAGATGTAGAACACGTGTTCTTTCATTGTCCACGCTTCGCAGTGGAAAGGGAGACTTTACAGACTCCTGCAAGAGGAAGTGCCTCCTGAGACCATCGTCACTAGGATGCTGCTGACACAAGAGTATTGGATGCGGTAGCCACCTATGCCGCCAAGGTCCTGAAGACGCTCCGCTCCGAGGAGCAGTTACGAAGAAGACTCCGTAATATTTCCGGTGAAGTGCGAAAAGCCCATCCTTCTTCTCGCGATGCAATGCCTGACGGCGGTTCCGCGGGAAGGAATAGGAGGAAAGGGAGGGGTTTTTAGTGGGTAGGCATAGGCTAGCTATGAATCCACACGCTGCGGGTTGCGGCCCCCTTGTGTCTTTAGAAGATTTTCCTCTGCCCACGTTAAAAAAAACACCCCGCAACACCCCGCACACACTCCGCACACACACCCGCACACACACCCAGATATATACGTATATACGTATATAAGTGTACAAGAGATATGAAATTATAAAAAGTCATGAATCAAGAATATGAAACCTGAATATATATATATATATATATATATATATATATATATATATATAAAAATATATATATATATATATATATTATATCCGTTGTACACTTAATATTTTGATAGCAATTAACATCACTTTCCAGTTTATCTTCATAAATACAGTATATGGAAAGAAAATCTGTGAAAGATAATCTATTATTTGTGAATAGGAACAATTTGCATTAAGTAATTTAATGTGAAATAAACAATCAATCACCAGAGGTAATATTCATTTTCAGCAGTTGTTTTCAATACCATTTGTAGTAATAATCTTTATTAATTAATTCTTCTATTACACATTACCATTCTACTAAATGTCTCAAGTAATTCTCAAATAGATAGTTCTTTTGGTTGACTTATTTCATACTACTGTGATTTTAATAATGGATATGGTTTAACATCATAAATACTCAAAAATAATTTGTAATAATAAGAAACACACTTTGAATCTCAACTATGCTATCTTTTATTCTTGGTTACTCAAAATATTTTGCCAAATTTTGGAGTAATCATTACAATGATGATAACATTTTTGTATCATATTCAATTGTAAATATTTTCACTTTTATTAAATATAATCATAGACAGTAATTAAAAAGTGTGGCTTGGTTTGGAAAGAAAATAACACTAGTAAAGATAGAATTATATGAGGAAATATAATAGAACAAATTTTTTTATAGACTATAACATTGAAAAATATGAAAAATTTTAAAAAATATAATCCAGAAATATTATAGATTTAATGAAATAATTGAGAAACATTGGAAAGACATGATCCAGGAAACAAAATTCTGAACACACAACATGATCTCCAAATCTTTGGCTACTTTTTCGATCATTCTAAAAGTTCAAAAAACAGGAGACAGCACAATTGAGATTTCTCTATTGTTTTATATGTCCTTATCTTAAGAGTAACACAATAGGATTGACAAAGGAACACAAATAAAAGACATAAACCAAAACATATTATAAAAGAAATAATATACTTTCTGAATAAATTGTTAGAATACATTAAAAGAATGAAGTACAAGTGATTTTCAAAACTAGCATTACATTTCAAACTCTCAGGATAAAGAAATATTGGAAGACTAAAGAAAAAAATAGAGAAAACAGGAGGTATAAACCATCTACGTCTACAGTGCAAACAGGATCAGGCGAAAGTCCTAATATCCTTTAGTTCAAGATGAAGATTATGCTAGGTTTGGTGTTAATTCTCCTCATGCTAACATGCAATGTATTGGTTAAATTGATTATCCTATGGGCATCTCCTCCATTCTTTGGAAGGAAGCATGTTCTTCAAATAAACTATAGCTTATTTATTTAATAGTCTCCCTCCTTTAATTTAGTGCTGATGAAATCCATGAATCATCCAATATCAGAAACTATTCTTAACCTGTAATTAATACATATTTTTTCTCTCATATTCTGCATTTTGAATGTAAGAAGTTGAATATAGTTTTTGCCTAATTTTATTTTAACTATTTGTTGTTACAAATTTCAATAAAATGAAAATAAGCATGTAGGTATGCTTTAAAAAGACTTTGGGTGATGCCCTCACTATAACAAAGGCACTCTTAGGATCCTCCTTCTCTTCCCCTCCCAGACATCAGAACAAACTTTAGTAATCATCCATTCACAATAATGAATAATGGAATTATTTCCTTCTGATCAGTTCTTCATTAGTCACAAGTTTATTCGCGGCGATTCTAAAGTTATTGAATAAATCTAACTCGGTGAGGTTATGAAATGCTCAATGCTACTTGTTTAAATAAACAGTAAATAACAAAAAAATATGAAGAGTTCATATTTAATTTGTCAAGATGTTCTTTTACATTCATAATTCGCGCTCTAATACTCCGATATGTTCAGAAAGTAGGAATTATTGTTTCACAGTCATGCCGAAATGACATCTTTAAGGTCTCGCAACATATTTATTCCGTTTCTTACCTAATTTTAAGAACAACTTATAGTTATTTCATTTAATTTGTGATAAATCGATTTCCATATTCACTTTCAGGGTGAATTTCCATCAACCGTGGCTAAGGATACCCCCCACCGAATGAATAATTTTCCACTGAGTTATTGCATCATTTGTTTCTTGCTTTTTAGATAGAACTGTTTGTGCATTCGCAATTAAAATATAGTTTTGGAAGATAATCTTGAAAATATATATTTTTCTTAACTAGTATTGGTGACCAATAGTTGAACATCGTTCAATAATTTAATCTCTTTTCCTCATTATTGCTCTGGTTTGCGTTGCGTGAGGAGCGGCGCGCCCCCTCAGTTGTAGCAGCTGGAGGACGTTGTCAGGGGTCAACACTGCGTCTAAAATTATTTTTACGGTAAGTACCCGGTTTACAAACTTGCAATATTTGTTTTGTTTACATTGTAGCCATAAATGTTAATTTATGAGTGAAATGAAGAAATATCTTTTGCGTAAAATTGTGGAAACTAATCAGAACGGGGTCTAAGCGTGTCACCTTCATTGCCCTTGAGGGTCAGTTTGGACTTCTTTTAATCGAATCCTTGGATTGTGAAGAAACCGACAATTCATTAATATTATGTAATTTTTGCAAGTAAGTTACATTTATTGCAGCGTTATTTTTTATTAATTTTTGATATATTATTGTTCAGGAAAGTTCACACCGGGAAAGTCAGAATGCCTCTTCAAAAGCTGTTTGCCCGTCAAATTTTTGATTCTCGTGGAAATCCCACTGTGGAGGTAAGTAATTTGTATGAATTACTTAAGTGTATTGATTTTTAAACATGTTTCATTCAATTTTATAATGCATTGCGTTTTGCTACTAGGTGGATTTGGTGACTGATCAGGGACTGTTCCGAGCAGCTGTGCCGTCGGGAGCTAGTACTGGAGTTCACGAAGCTTTGGAACTTCGAGATAATGAGAAAGAAAATTATATGGGAAAAGGTGTTAGGAAAGCGGTCGAAAATATAAACAAAATTATTGTACCAGAACTTTTAAAGCAGGTGAACTTCTCCTTTCCTCTTTTTAAATTTATTTTAATGTTGACTAAAAGTTATGTGAAACAAATGGAAAATTTCAAGACCACTTACCTATTGCCTTTTTAATGTTACTTTTTTCTTTTAAGAGAGATTATTTGCTCTGTATTAAAAATTCATAAATATGATGTAATTATCGATTTTCTGATTTTTTTCTTTTTTGTTAAGAACTTTGAAGCTACTCAACAAAATGAAATTGATGAATTCATGCTCAAGTTAGACGGCACAGAAAACAAGAGTAAACTTGGTGCTAATGCTATTCTGGGAGTTTCCCTTGCTGTATGCAAGGCAGGAGCAGCCAAGAAAGGAGTTCCACTCTACAAGTATGAATTCATTTATATATTTTTCCTTTTTCATGTTTTTCATTGTAGGTAAAGTTTAAATACTCTTACTTTTGAAGGCATATTGCTGATTTAGCAGGCAATAAGACTCTTATATTGCCTGTACCAGCCTTTAACGTCATTAATGGTGGCTCACATGCTGGCAATAAACTAGCTATGCAAGAATTTATGATTCTCCCTACAGGTAAACAAGAAAATTCCTACAGAAATAGTAAAAAATGTTCTTAATGAGGTCTGGTTAGAGATTCAGAAAGACACTAATGAAGAAAATGTGAACATTTTTTTCAGGAGCTGCATCTTTTACTGAGGCTATGAAAATGGGATGTGAAGTTTACCATAACTTGAAAAGTGTTATTAAAGAAAAATTTGGATTAGATGCTACAGCTGTGGGCGATGAAGGTGGTTTTGCTCCAAATATTCAAAACAACAAAGACGGTCTTATTCTTATTAAGGATGCTATTGAAAAAGCTGGCTATACTGGCAAGGTTGAAATTGGAATGGATGTTGCTGCTTCAGAGTTTTTTAAGTAAGTGTATTTGTCTTGATTAAATGGTTTTTGATGACATTTTAATGGTGAAGTTATTTGACACATAATGAAGGGAAAGAAATATTTAAATGTGTAGAAATGTTTATTAATCCTCTGAATAATTCCAGTTTAATTTGCTCAATATTAATTCATTCCTTTGTATTAATGGTCATAAGAAAGTATTCATTTTTAATTCCATTTAATGCTGACTTAATAGTGAAATGAGGAATTTTGTTTTCACAAGAATTATCTTTGAAATAAAAATAATTTCAATCTGTAAAGTGAATGGTTTTTTGAAAAAATTATTCTCTTATTTATTATTTTAAATTTTCTAATTTATTGGCAGGGATGGAATGTATGATTTGGACTTCAAAAATCCAAATGCTGATAAATGCTCAAGAGTTAGCCAGGATAAACTGATTGGCATTTATCAAGAATTCATGAAAGAATTTCCTGTTGTGTCAATTGAAGATCCATTTGATCAGGATCACTGGGAAGCCTGGACTGGTTTTACATCTAAAGTAAACATTCAGGTAAGTTATGTTGTAGAATTTAGTTGTCATGATTGGTACATCAATTAAGTATTTCTCACTGTTTCTTTTGTACAATCACTTTCTTTTTTTTTTTTTTTGTTCACAGGTGGTTGGTGATGATTTGACTGTAACGAATCCAAAGAGAATTCAGACAGCAATTGAGAAAAAGGCTTGCAATTGCCTTTTATTGAAAGTAAATCAGATTGGAACTGTAACAGAATCTATTCAGGCTCATTTATTGGCAAAACAGGCTGGTTGGGGCACAATGGTTTCTCATAGATCTGGTGAAACAGAAGATACATTTATTGCAGATCTGGTTGTAGGGTTATGTACTGGTCAAGTAAGTTGGATGTTTTAAAAAAATTTACAGTAGCGTGTTACACATTTTTTGGTAGATTAAAATTTCAAAATTCTTATTTCAGATTAAAACTGGTGCTCCATGCCGTTCTGAAAGGCTGGCAAAGTACAATCAGATCTTACGTATAGAAGAAGAATTGGGCTCAAAAGCCCAGTATGCTGGCAAAAATTTCCGTAAACCTCTGTAAAAGTGCATGGTGCTATGTACAGATAAGCATGCAAGCCTTCAAACTTGAAGATAATGGTCGTTAAAATAGAGATTAAGTGTATTAAATGTTATTGGCCTTAGGTGAAGTAAAGGGATGCTTATGTGTTCAGAAATATCAGTGATCACTCAGGAAGTCAAAATGGTTAGTTACCCTGTCAAAGTAAATTTTATGGAAATGTGTAGTCAAAGAAATTGTGTAAATTGCAATCTATGAGAATATCACACCCTGAGACAACATTGAATGTTCTGAAATATATGTTTAAAATTCATAGAATCTTTTTCTTTATTTTCCCATTCAATAATTTAACCCTCAAATGAAATTGCCTGTTATTTACGTTACTTTTTAATATTGATTCTATAGCACATTCATTCACTGATTAATTTAAAAAAAAAAAAACATATTAATTTGGTTGTGTTATATTTTTTCTACTTTTGAATAATGTTTAAAATACTGATATTGATGTCTGAGAATCTAGAAGTAGAACTTCGATAAAGAAAATGGTTGTGGATAAACCTCTACTAGAAATATCATAGTCACTTAGTCTTTGAGCAGTTAGATTGGGTTTGTACATGGTTATTGTAAAGATTCATGATTTTTTTTTTTTTTCCCTGAAGGTTTAATGTGTCGAGTTGACTTTTGATCTTTAACAACAGTATAATGCTCAGTTTTCCTGCTTGTTTAAAAAAAAAATTCTTGAAATACTACTAATGTGTAGAGGGAAGGCTGTCAAATATCTTATTCAGTAAAAGCATTTAAAATAAAATGTTATTCTATTACTCTGACGTTTCCATGGAAATGATCTATCCAGAAGCAAAACAAGGGACAAGTCTACTGTTAAGCTCTGCTATTGATACTGTTATACACAATTATTTATGGAGTAAAGTAAAATTTTGATGAAACTTATTCTGTTGTGGTGCAACAGAAAAATACAAAGAAAGTTGTGTTGAAATTATTGGTGTAATTCACTTGGTTTTATAGAATAGGCATCACATTTGGTGCTGTATTGATGTTCCATTGTTTTCTTATATTTCTTGGGTTTAATTTTTCAACCTTGGAGGTTGAAAGCAAACTAGTGAATTTTTTAAAAAGTGAATAGATAATGTGAATAAACACAGACCAAGGATAGGGCCTTATGTTTTCTAGAAAGTCACGGGACAAAAGTTTACACGAAGTCCAGTGATAATTTTGTAAAAGAGCTGAGAGTTCTTGTAGACTTGATATTTAAAATGATCAATGTATCTGATTGAATTCTCTAGTGCAGAGGTACTGAGAGTGCTATGGAAAATGTTTTTTTTTTTTTTTTTGGAAATTATGAACATGTTAAACTTTATAATTTTGTACCAAGCTGACTTTTTTACTTTTGTAATAAGGAATTTATTATATTTATTTTTATTATTGCTCAATTCAATACAGGGAGAAAATGCAGACAAAGACTTCTATAACTCTTCATTGACAGAAATTAGCTTAGTTTTTTTTATTATTAAGAGTAAATGCTGAAAATCTTTGTTTGCGTACGTATATTGTTGAAAATGGAAGTAGTATGGACAGTTTTGAGACCGAATACAGACAGATTAGACAGAATAGACAATTTGTGTGCGAAAAACACTGCATTAGAACCTATCTTACCTTTAAGAAGGATATTGTGTTAATATTAGGGATGTTTTTGAAAGTGAATTATCTCCAAAACTACTCATTGATCTTGGTGCAATAGGATAAAACCTGATGCATATGGACGTAACAATTTTAGTTGTTTCGAAAAAACCGCCAAGATCAGTGTAGTACACATTCAAAATTTATCCGCTAGGTTCGCACTATGAGAAACACGTGATTGGGTACTGGCTTCTTGGGCAGTTCACTGTACTTGCTCCAGCTGTTCAGGAACAAACCCGTCAGACCAAACTTTTCCTAATGGTTGACGTGTAAGCGGAAAGTTTTAACTGCATTTGTGCTTTATCCTGAAAGATTAATAGCCCGAAAAAGAAGAATACATTTGATTGAAATTTGTCCCTCATGTGTGGCTGTGTGGGGTAAAACTACATATTTCTTCGATCAGCCATATTTGATTGCCTTAACTGCTGGACAGTTTCGTGTAGATATTGCAAATCGCGCGCGCAGGGGTGGCATAATTGGGAATTTTTGTTAGCAATTCAAAAGTGAGCGTAACACAATTAGCAGTTGTCAATATATCAAGAACAGACAGCATTAACTAAGCGGTAAGTACCCTTCACTTTGCAGTGCTTTGTTCGAGTAAAGGACTAAAATTTCTCAGTTTGACCAATACTTTCAGCGTGTACATAATGTGCAGTAATTTGTTACACTCCGAGTGGCATGAATAATTGACAACACACTATAAAGATTTGTCAACTCTTCTTGCTTCGTGCATTCATTTGAACTTATTAGAACATCTTGCATGCTAATTTGACACCGTTTCAAATTGAACATTCGGACATAAACAAATATACATGTTTAAGCATCTTTCTGAAAATGTCATGGGATCATGTAAGGTACTAGAATTTTTAATTATTTATAGTATTACATTGGTTGTTTACTTTTTTTGCCTGACGTGGTAGGTAATGTAATACGAATCGGATGTGTACAAGCTGGTTTGGAGAAAGTTGCAAATAATAATAAAAATAAACCAACATTTTATTGGGGAGGCTGATAAACAATTGCACCAAGACAGTTAAAAATTTTTGTTATTTAGGACTGTCGTGGAATTTTGTCTACTGTTTTCAGGTTATTATTTCTAAAATTCGCAATCCCGGAAACTAACTGCGTAGTTGCGTCATTTCAAAAGCGTTGGGCACAATCTGGTATGTTGAAAGTGCATTGTAGGAAGCTGGAAGGAAGTCGTAAAGAACAACGGATTTGGAGGTCGTCGTGACCATGAGAAGTGTTTATCAGTCTCAGGCGGGGGTACCACTTCGCGTTTCCTTGCGATAAACTCAGGATCAGCAGGAGACCTTGTTTGTAGGTGCGGCACGAATAGCGACGCTGCCTGGTGAGAAATCAATATATCAGCTGATGGAAGTAGCACTGCTTGTAGATTTGTGACAAGATGCGTATTTGACAAGTGTCCACAAACACGTTTAAGATGTAGTGGTTCAATAGATGGAAAATAAACTTCACTTATCTCGCTTAGTGATATTTCTTCTCGTGTGTGTGTATGTAGAGGTCAAATTTAGGAATATTTGTTATGAGAAGAGAGAAGTCTACATTCTCACTAGTGTTATTGGTGAGAAAGCCACAATTACGGTGCTTTACGTGACCAAGCAATAGAACGGTTACAACACAGGACGATTGCAATAGAACGGTTATGTCACAGGAGTATTTGAAACAAGCTTGAACCTTGTTTATAACATTCAAGTTCCATCAAATCAGCCTTTGGATTTTCTGCTTCTGTAAGATTTTTAAGAACTCATAAAGCCACCTGGGCTTGTACATGCTAAACTGAAATTCCCTTGTAGACACTCCCAAAAATTTGCTTCTGCTATCCCTAAAGCATGAATATACATTTATTTTGAACGTATATTAGTCATTACTTTTTTGAGATGAAGTTTGACAAGTAATAATGATTAAACGTGTTCAATACTTGTACATTAGATAACAACAGATTTAATTTTAGTGATGATGCAGCTTCTCCAATGAATTGAGCTGTATATTTTTTAAAATTTTAAATTGTACTAACTGTAGATTGCTAAAAACAATTGGGTAATCATAGAAATGTTTGTATGACTTAATATCTTTTATGCACAAATTTCTTGTTCACAATGATTTCACTAGTATTGTTCTCATTTTAGATTTTGTTAAAATGCATCATTTTTCTCATTCTTGTGTAAAAACCTGTAATTGGATTTCAAATATTAATAATTCCTTCTTATTTTCAGAACATTATGAGTAGTTTTGTAAATTGTTTTCTTTTATGAGTGATAACCACGACAAAAACTGGTGAGCGATAGCTGGTTTGATCCAAAAAATATGCTCATCACAGTGTAACTGACATAGTTTTCTTTTTCTTGGTATCCAAGATTGAATTTTGTTCGAGAAATCCAATTACAGATATGTTATACTTATTAATGAGAAGTATTATGTAATATTGAACTTCCTTCATTGATTGTTTGTTTCAAAAATAGCAATTATTATTAATGAGAGTATAAAATGTATGTATTTTTAACTTTATTTGGGGGTTAAACAGCATTTATAACTTAGTAAATTTCTTTAATTGCTGTCATAATGCTTTTTCCTCATTGCATTAACAGCCCTTTTAAAATTAATTCAGTTTCCCTAATTTAAATTGCCCACATTTTCTGCAAGGTGTTACAGCGAAACCTGCGGAAATGGGCACCCCAATAAATGGTCACCTCAATTTCAGGCAATTTTTAAGTGGAACTGATTGGTTTTTGTGTATATGTGTAAGTCTTCCCTCTTTTAAGCGACCAGGTCATGCTAACGACGGACCGACTCATTTAGTAGATTACTAGCCGAGCAAAACTTCATGAAGAATTTGCGCTTTTGATCCGTTACGCTATAAGAAGCGGATGACTGGAGGAAATTACTATTAATTCATTATCTTCTGGCGTTGAGGCCGCAAGCACGGGACAGAGATATTTCATGTTTTTTTTTTTTTAATATATCTTGGAGAGTGCTTAATTTGTTTCAGATAGCATTGTGCATGCATGCTCTGAAATTTCCTCAGGATATAAGCGGCAGCTTCAAATCTGGTCGGGAATGAAGTTACGAGTGGGAAGAATAAACCAATGGTGTGAAAAAGAAGAGTGCAAATGCAGGGAACTAATTTTATTAACGAAATATTTAAGTATTATAAGCGCACTTTTTCTTGAGTCCCGGAAAACCCACCCCTTCTTCCTTACAAACATTAGTTGAATTAATAAATGATAGCAACGAGCGCTATTGACAAATCAGATTATTAGAAATGTTCACTCCCGTGTAATAGACTATTTTGGAACAAAAAAAAGAGCTTCATATTTTATGTAAATCCCCTGTCGTTGATATAACAAAACACTTCCACTCGTCTCGCATCTAGCAAAATGATGGCTCCAGAAAAAGGGCCGGGTAATATACGCAATTATAAAAGTTAGTGGTAAGAAGATTAAGTATAATTCAAATTGTGTTAACGACCCAAGCATACCAACTTAATTGCAAATAGCCAGGGTCGTTTTCTTCGCTTGGATGGGGCCCACGAGGCTCTCAAATATTTGAGGACCCTAAGTATTGTCTGAAAAATGATTTTTCAACATCCATTTGAGAAAAAAAATCGTTAGAGGTATTGTTTGATAATTTTTGATCAGCGGGGACCCCCTTAATAATGGGGGCCCGAGGCAAGATCATTGTCAGCTTGTGCCCAATGATGCCCGTGCAAAAAGCAATATCAAACCAGATGTCCACTTTTCTTAGGCTTAAACCCCCTTTAAGCGACCACCTGCACTGGAGGTCATTCACTTTCTCACAATTTGTCGGTTGCTTAATGATTGAATTGAAATATGATTTTAAGAATATGGTACGAAAGTTAAATCGGTTTTTATATGCTAACAGTATTGGAAAATTTGACGCCTTTTTTTTTGGAAAATCGTCGTTTGAGCGTTTCTGAAAATGCCCCATTATGAATTCATTTGCACGAAAAAACTTTGAATTTTCGAGAAACCATAAGAAATCATTTGCATAAATCCAGTTGTTAAATTAGAATATATTCCTCTAACACGTGGTGTAGCTAGAATCCATGTTTTGTGCATCCTTCATACCAAAAAATCGATTGACGGCAAAACGTGTCTCTCAGACTGACTGACGGTCTGTGCACAACAGCGCATAACCGTTCAACCGTTCAAATTTTCCCCAAAATTGATATTCTCCAATCGTTCAAGGTGATGCCACGGAACCTGGTATTTGAAACAGATATTTTAATTTTAGGGGATACTTTACATGAAGCCCTGAGACATTTCCAAAATAATGACTCCAATATTTTTTATTAAATTTTCTTGTTGAATAGTGCAAAGGACGTTTAACAGAATGGTGCAGTTCTAATTTTTGTTAACATCCCCGATTTTTCGAACATTGAAAAAAAAATTAAAACTTCAAAATTGATTATAGACTTTTTTGTCTCAAAGCCTGTTGTACAAAATTAGCTCTTTAAAAAATGTCATATACAATTTTTTTTGGAAAATTAACAGTTTTTGCGTAATTTTCGCTTGAAATATACGAATTCCCCCCCCCCCCTCAAAATCCGCTCCAATTTTTTTCTTTAACTTTTCTACACTTATGTAATGAGTGATAGTAAACAATATCGTGGTAGTTCCCATATTTGAGCATCGCTCGGTTTAAAAAAGAATTTAAAACTACAAAGATAGAGATTTTTGGTTCTGAGAGTCTGTTGTAGGAAATTAGCTTTTTAAAAAGGATCATGTACAATATTTTGAAATTAGCGGTGCTACAGAATGGCACAGAAATTCCCGTATTATTTTTGTTTCTTTTAGTTTGGGCTCTTGCCAGCTGCCATCTAGTGCCGTCCAAAGTACATTTCTTTTTCAATTTTCATAACTTTTGGTTTCCTAATAGTAAAAAGGAAATATTATTTTAAGAATATTAAAAAACAGTAAAAACTCGTCCTGAATGCCAATATTCTTTGAAAAATTTGGAGCAAATCTAGAGCAATCGCTGAAAACGTGCATATTAAAGGCGCGAGAGATATTTCAAAAAATTACTATTGGGTAACAATTATACAGCAAAATTAACATGTGTGTAACATTGTATATAGCAAAATTAATTCTATGTCGTCTGAAAGGGTGAAATAAGCACTGTCCGTTGAAAAAGTTTGAAGAAAATATTTTGAGATTTTTCTCAAAAATGGCGTTTGGATGTTTCTCAAAATGCGGAATTTTGAACTAATTTTCACAGAAAACAGTTTAATTTTATAGTTGTAGGAAGACGGAGAAAAAAATCATTTTTTTCAGTGTTCGGAAATTCAGTTAACCTTTAAAATTGGGCGTATGCACCTTTATAAGTACATTTTACTCTATTCTTTCAAGAAATTTAAAGAAAATGTTTGGAGCTGTTTTTGAGAAAATGTTGGAAGTGTCCAAATTTTAGAGAATATTTTTTAAAATCCCGAAGCTTCGACTCGAGCCATATAGACAGGGGTTTCTTGAATTTTGGAAAAAATGTACTTGGTTTAGGCACAAGTAGTTTCAGTCAGATGAGC